CAGTGAAGTGAGGAACGGAGCGGAGGTTTTGTGGGCTTCCAAGCAGCATCAACTGCGTTTCATCGACATTAACTTTGAGGGTGTTGAATCTGAACTAATCGTCAAGAGAGGCCAAGACGCGTTCCAAATGAGCGATAGTGTTATTAAGAAATTTCGGACCACTAACCAAATTCCGCGTCATCCGCGTACTGGACCACTACATCTTCCTCCGCGAAAAGACTCAGATCTTTCGCAAGTACACTGAAGAGGGAGCCTTCAGAGGGGGCAGTTCAGAGGAGACTTTCGTGGTACCCCAGTAAGACTGACGGTTTGAGTGTGATCACGAAGATAGGCCGAAATCCAAGGGGCATCAAAATCGTGGGCGCGCATCTTTGAGGGGAGTTTTGAATGATCATCACATCAAAGCACTGGCTGAGATCTAGATGACAGACCAGCGCCATCTCTCCATGATCATTCACGAATAGAATGTGATCGGAAATGGCGGCAAACGCGGTTTCCGTGGAGTGGCGGAGGCGAAAACCATGTTGGATAGAGAAGATGAGATGGCTGGAAGAGGCACAATTATAGAGCTATTGATGGACGGTGCACTCTACGATTTTAGCAATCGCAATAACGATGGGTTTTGGGTGGTAACTGGAAGACATTTATTCGGTCACGGATACACTACTAAAATTAGCGACTAAGGACTAAGGAATGTTTTCAGGATATCGGGACTTTGGAGAGGGAAAGGCTAGAGTTGACCAGCTGGAGAAATATCGTGCTGATGACGTCAAAACTGAGGTGCACAGCACGCAGGCAGACGCCAACCTCGCCACTCGCCGAAGAGCTGTTCACGCCAAAAGGTATGGCTCGTAGCTCGGACAATGGGGAGGGCGACAAGGCAGGGTCGCAGGCGCCGACGCGAGGCAAGTGACACGGCAGGTCTGGTGGTGCTCCCCGAATGACCACTTCTCCACCCATACGCGGGTCCACGCTGGCAAGATAGGCGTTCAGCACATCGGGAGTAACGTCCTGGGACATACGGCCCGGCCTGCGGCCACCAGCAACGGCGCGAGTGGATCGCCAGGGAGATAGCGCACCATCATCTGCTGTTCGACGCTGGATGACGTCATGCGTGTCGCGGCGCAGCGCCGAACGCGCAGAGTTATTGAGCCCCCTGCACGGGTCAGAGTGATGACCATGCTGGCCGGAGCTTGCCTGCGCTGTGCCAGGTACAGCTGGCGCAGCTTGCTGGTAAAGCTGCGCCAGAGCTTACCTGCGCCGCTGCATCAGGTTACGAGCAACATCTGTTACCGCAGGGGCGATAGGGTTGCAGAGGCGTCAGGTTGAACGCCGCATAAGCGTCGATAACCCGGGTAAAAGTGTGTGTAAAGTACTGTCGCTACTCACACGTTTTTCACGTCCCACACACGACACGTTTTTCTTCATAGAACTGTGCCGAATTACCATGACACATCGCAAGTCAAGATCGCAGAGTCGCACAGCCAGCTCTTTGGTCGCAACCAGGGCCACAGGACATAGGCGTAGGAACGTTTCAAAAAGTGGGTGCCAACCCCAAGGTGTACTTCATTTTTCTGGAAAGCGAGCCCGATGACCGGCGGGGGGGATGGAGGTTGTTATTGCTCTTTATTCAAATGTCGTTGCTGCTATGCTAGATATGCATCTAGAACTGTCTATCACTGGTGCACAATCTTGCCTATTCGGCTCATCAGTCGTTTGGCAAATATGGCTATTCAGCTTCCCCAGATTTTTCGTCCATTTTAACATTCTTTCCCGGGAAGACGAAATTCCACGGGCGGGTAGGCATTTTGGGTCATTAAAGAAGCATCTGCCTCCACAGTGTGGATGACAAAATGCGGTCTGGACAAAGGCTGGTGAGAATTTTGAAAGTGGATCGATGGCTCACAGTGCGACAGATTTTTCACGCGCCTTCATTTCGCTGGCTGCTTTTCAAGGGATAAGACCTGTCGCAGCATTTTAGGCGGAAACCAATTCGGGAGCTTGAAGCTGCTAGAAACAATGTGACAAAAGCCATAAAACTGGAGATTCACTTTTAAGAATCAAGCCACATAATAACGCCCATCTGCCATATGTTCCTTATCTAGGCCCTGCCCCTGTCCGCCGTCGGTCGCCACTGCTCTGGCCCGGATGTCTCCCGCATGACTGACCACGAACTGATCGTATGGCTGCTTTGTTGCATGCTTTTGGGCCAGCGTTACTTCTACATGATGTATGAACCAAGTGTTGGACACCTGCAACAGTATCTTTTCTCCGAACTATCTTCCCTCACACCACACCATCGCAGAAAAATAGCCTCCGGGAAGCTGTCTGCCTTAGGAAGGAATTGGCCCAACGGGCGCTTCATTGCCCCTCATTCAACGCGTACGACGATCTGCTTTTGAGTGTAGGCAGGGGCGTAGTCAGAGCCTTGCCAAGGGGGAACACAAGGTTGACAAAAACCCATCTTATGGTGATCCCCCCAAAATCCCCGGATATAGCTTACTTGTTAACAAGTAACTCAGTTTTCTCGGCTTTATTGCCATTTTTATCTTGTTATCAGAACAGAAACCAGGAGCTACCGTGAGTTCTGTTGTTTGTATTTTGCGGTCAATAAACTGCAGAAATCAGGCGTTGGACGACTGCATGCAATAAATCACTGGCGCTCTTAGTTTACAATGGTTAGTTGGCTCTTTCTAAACCGATAGAATTCAGAATCTTTGTCAAATTTTTTATCTAGGTTCTAAAGACATTGAGAACATCGCTAAGGGAGATTGCAGACCAATATGCTTTATCCAAATTTGATGATGAAAAGTTGATTGCAGATCTAGTGGTCAACAATGGTATTAACATGGCCAAGCCATGTTTGCCTGAAAGTGTTCACCATTCAGTCACAATCGATTATTGATACAATTTATGTAACGAGTATTTTAACATACGCGCTCGCAAATCTTAGCAACAAAAGCCTCGACACCAGGCGTTGCAGTCTCCATAGTCCGCGGAGCGATAGTCCAGTAGCCAATATTTAGCCGTGTCCCACCGGTGGACGAAAATGATGACGTTTCTGAAATGATTAGCTTAAAACACTTAAATCGACTAGTAACACAAGTTATGTGACGCAATTTTGAGCATGCGCAAATGAAAACTTAAGAAACATAAGCCTCGACACCAGGCGCTGCAGTCTCCGTATGCCTAGCAGCTAATATTAAGTTGTAGCCAACGGGTGGACGAAAATGACTACGTTTCTAAAAAGCATCCTCAGACGCTTCATGAAATCAGAGCTTACATTTAGAAGGCAGTCTGAGCGCATATTTCACGCATGCAATTTTTAGATTGATGAAAAGAACGGATCGGCCGTTAAAACACCGCGAAGTGGGGCTGTGATCTGGTATTTGAACTGGAAGAGTTAAGGTAAAATCCCTATTTTTCGTATTTTCGCAGCTATTTATCGGACAGATTAACACCGCGCCCGCCGTCCGTGGCACACAGGCACTTGCAGTGGCTGAAGCGGTTCGGTTTTACGGAAGCAGTACCCGATGCTATCTCTGTCCTTGCTCCCGAGGTTTTGGGCGGGCATGTTCAAACCTTTTAATGTATTTCGTTTCACTTATCCATTCTGAAAAAATAAACGTTCTCAGGCAAACATGGCATGACCTTGCTGATTTTTACAGTTCATTTTGACCCACCCTGTGCAACAATAATGAGAACCCCACTCTACTCAACAACAATAAGACCCATTACTTCCTTCCGGGCAAGGGGCCTCTTGAGTAAAACACCAGAGATACATTGCCATTCCCGGTCAAGAGCCGAAGGGCCATTCCGTCCGATCTCAAAGTGTCTTCTGGCTATCATTCTTGTGGCACAGGGCGGGATCTCCTGGTCGACCCGGAGGTCATTGGCAGGGTATATCGTATCACATTGTTCCCATCCCTGACACGGGAGGCCTTCTGACCCGCGCAGTCAGCCCCGGATCAGGACAGGAACCCTCATTGACACAACGTCCCTGATTACCGCAGGTAGTCCGATAGTTGTTACATAGACTCCAGTTCCGTGTATTTCTATGTTCTTCAGAGATATTGAAATCTCCCTGGCTGTAGATTGCAGATGAAATGGGGTTCCTTGTCTGCTGGGCCGTCGCTGCCTCCCCGCAGCCTCCTGGAGCGACCCCGAAGCGGCACCATTTACGGGCACGCGCGGTACCCACTATGACAGACAGGTGACGTGGCCAAATAGTGGCTGGTTCTCCAGTAAATGACCTGTCTCTGAACCAAAACAGCAGGCAAAATCGGTATCTTAGATTTTCGGAGGCATTGAGACGTATATGAAGTCACATCACACATACAAACGTCCGTATGCCGTCCAACGCTCACCATCAATAAATATGTTCTGGAGGATGGGCACAGCTCGACATTTCGAGCAACGTCAACACGCCCGTTGTAAAGCAGAACGTGGCAGTTAACCAGTACCTCCTGATGTATCGAAGGCCGTTAACTCAATGACAGATTTTTGAGCTTATAATGCTGAAAAACCAGGAGCTGAAGGACTTCCTTTCTTATATCAAGCCCAAATTATGAGCAGAGCAGAGCGGACGAAATTCGTGAAGAAACGCATCTCCGAAAAAGGATAGGCATGGTTAATACGTTCGGTCTCTCCCCCCAATGAGAAACGCAAAGATCCACCCCGTATGCACTAGCATCTACAATGCGTGCATATTGAGGATATACGCATCTGCGTATCCAGGGCCTTCACAATACTGACAGTCAACGCTGGCGCATGTACTTGCGTTGGTACAGGTTTTCGTCTGGGATGTTTTCAACACTTCAGATGCCTCATTTGCACGCGCGTTCGCTTTACTAAATTTAACGTCTAATGCACTGCAGTGAAGGATTTCAGAAAGCCGTACCACACCACAGCTGACTTTTATCGCACGCAGCGAGCCTCCACCCCACCCCACCTTCCATCCCCGATGTGGCGCGCCCGAACGCATGCTGTCAAAACAGGAATCGTATCTTACGGCTACTGTATTTCTCCCCAGTCAGCGCAATCGCTACCACACATGGCAGACATCACCGCCACCAGCAACGAACCGAGGTGGACGTTAAAATTTATTTGATAAAAACCAGTTTTCTATGACTACCAACAATCAAAATGATGTCTGCCTAGTTTCGCTGCACTGAGTACCCAAAATCAAACCTCAACCGAACCTCAACATCCCGGCGGACAGCTCGCCGGCGCGGACCCGCCGACGGGAGGTCTCAACAGAACACACCATGCCTATCGGTAACAAGCAAACAAGCCACTGCACACGCTGCCGGAGTGCGCAGCGCGCCAACCCTCCACCGGGCCGGACCGGACCGGGCTGCGACGGTGAGCCCTACTGCCACCCAGAAACACCCGCAGCGAAGGTCAACAATCAAATGATCGATCACCACTATATTCGAACAACGTACTTCACGGACAATTTTGTGTATCACTGCTAAGATTTATTTACACAACAACCCTTCCTCGCGATGCGAGGGCACCGACGCATCTAAATCATCCCTTCATAGAAAACAATCGACAGCAACCAGCACGAAGCATGCACATAACTAAAGAAAGGAATCAACAGATACATGGTGATGGCTAAGGGACCTGCCTATCATTGGAGCGGACGCTAGACATCGCGAGGATCTGGAGATGGGAGCCTGAGCCATTACGCCGGGAACGCGGCCATCTTCTCGCAGTAAATTTGTCGTCTGCTTTCTCACACAAAAGTCTCTGAACTTGCAAATGAGTCCTGTACCACTGGTGCCGTTCAAATGCTTCACGATTAGTTACTGTTTGCGATATCTATCAACAGCTGGCTGTAATACTGACGATACAATAAGACTGGAGACTGACAAGCTAGGACGATACTAGGCTTCCTTTATACAGCTCTAGAAGACGGGCAGCGATCGACTACAGCTATGCTCTGAGAACAATGACGCGGTGCGGAACCGCCGTCTAATTTCAGCCATAACCCCAACCAGTAACGATGAACGTATTGCTGTACAGAGAATGGTACACAGAGACGAGGATAATTTGGGAAGTTTACCCGAGCGTGAGCGCGTAACATGACAAGGAATAGAACATTTTGGTGAGAAAACAGGAACGCGGGCAGTTGGCGCATGGCACCACATTGACATTTAGTAGGAAAAATAAAGAACAACCGCTAGCAACATTTTTCACCAGTAACAAAATCACTACAAACAACTATCACCCCCCATTAGTCGCGATTTATGCATGCACAAGCCGACTGTTAAATCCAAGGACTGAGATAAAACCACTGTCATTCCACACACCTCCAACACTGAACTAGTTAAAGAGTGGCTGCTATTCTCACTTGGTCATGTGATATATATGTATGCATATATATCGTAGTACACTCGGAGTCCGCATAACACACCCGGCGCGCTTGTCCGGCACTGCATCAATGTCCTCGGATGCGGGCGGCGCACTCCCTCCGTTCATATGTACAGCCAGCGAGCCGCGCCCGACGCGAGAACCTGGCGTCGGCGGCCGGCGCGGGTCGCCAGCAGCGGTGGCGGCAGCGCGGCGGCGGCGGCGGCGGCGGCGACAGCGCGGGCGACTGTAGTGTGGGTACGTCTGCCCACGAGCGAGGGCGGCGGGAGAAGGTGGGAGCTCTGACCGTTGTCGATCACACAGACCAGCGCGCGGCGCCTAGGTCAAACGCAAATGTAAGGCATCTAACAACGCTGAATGTTTCGTTGCTCTTAACGGTATTTACAGATCCCGGCGGAGACCAACATAATCTCTCCAGCGTCGCGTCACGATCACTTCGCCCGGTGTCCAGACACTGCTCTCTGCGCTCGCGCCCAACACCAACCCAATCCACTCCCTGAGAAACGAACTCAAGAAACGTAACCGACTCCCCACAAGCCAACTCAACAGGCCAGGTAGCGTTTGCGGAGGCCGCCGGTTCCAGCTCGAGCGCGCGTCTCGAAACACTGCGGGCGTCAGCGCCAGACGGGACACGGGCAGTGGGAGACGGACAGAGACGGGGAGCGAGAGAGGGCGGCGCCGCCGGCGGCGGCCGGCTGCCCATCGGCTCGGGGGGCGCGCGGACCGCGCGCGGCGGGACGGGTGAGCGGGGCGGCAGCAGTGAGACAGTGCCAGAGGGCGCCGGAGTAAGGCTACAGCGCACTCGCACACGCGCGCGGCGGCGGCAGCTAAACGGCCGTCTCCGTATGGCTCCGGGACGTCAGGCCGTCCACGTCTATTTCGGGTATTTTGAGCTCGTCCGGGTCCGGACACATATCGGCGTAGTCCAGGGACGACCCCTGCGACAGCCTCTTCGCCTGTTGGAAGGAGCTCTGCTTCTGCAGGACTGCCGCCAAATTCGGGTTACCTGTCTCAGCAAGCCGAGAAACGTCAACGCCCTGGCGGAAGGCGTTCACAACACGGATCTGAAACACGCACAAACCAGTTAGTTAGCGCAGCTACATCACGATGGATTTCGACATTGCCCCCAAGCATGCCAAGCACACTTATATGAATCGGCGTTTCAACCATGGCAACAATTATTCTCCGGTCGGTCAGCTGTCATCCGAATGACGGCGATCTTCATGACGGCAGTCTCCCTAAGTCAGGCCTTCATCACAGATCACGGTGACAACCCCCTGCGCGAGTCGGTGCCGTGTTCAAAGCGAGACGCGCAAAGCAAAAATCACGAGTGGTGCCAGCGTAGCAGAAGCTGGACGGGAAAGAAAGGTCAATGTGCTCCAAGGAAATGAAGATTGGTCAGTTTGTTTGCATTCGGTGGCCACTGGATTGCAAAGGTGATCGGGCATTTCTGACGCAGATTATGGTGCGCCACAGTTCGCTGCTTTTGCTCTCATTCGGTGGCTATGAGAGTACCAAATCAATCGCGCGGTCACCGCGCGAATGCTTGGATATCGCATGTGCATATATTCCCACCACTCACCAGCAGGCCGCGCCTGGGCGTCTGCTGATGGTGGCTTTGTCAGCTGCCAGACCAGACATGTAGCGTGTGACTGCCGCCTACCACACAAGTGATTTTCACGCGCTCTGTTTGAGACCAACGTGAGCGGTGGCGACAGAGCTAAACCTCAACATAGCCGGTGACCACCACAGCGCTTGAGTAATCCCGATCGGCTCAGGCCAATGGCGGCAGCATTGTTAAGAGCCTGAGGTCGAGCCGGGCGGACGGTCGCACTGCGCGCCCGTGTGCGCGGGCGGCTGGACCTGTACCGTACCTGGATGCCGGGCAGAGGCAGACATGGGCTTTAAGGATGGCCGGCCGGACGGAGGAGCGGCGCAGGACGAGGAGGGCGTGATCATATGGATGCACTGGGCGCGGCAACGGCGTCGCCCGACTGGGTCGGCGGCGGCTTGTCGCCTGCAACAACACAGCACCGCGCCCTATCGCTGCCACAGCCCTGCCACCGTCGCGCCCACAACGACCCGGAGAATAATTGCATCACGGTGCGCTCGCAACACAAAGTTACACAGTCAGCAGCGAACGCACACTATTACCAATTGTTGGAAGTCAAAGGCAACGAACAATGAATCAATTGACACGGCGATAAAGATTAGTTGATCAGAAGCACACCAAACCACACCACACGAACACGCATGGCAAGCACAGTATAGCACCTGAGCCAATCTGGTGCTGATCACAGCGGAGGCAAAGCCAGTAGCGTGTGTGTAAGCGTTAGTCCAGTTGTTAGTGGAGCAGCACATGTGCGCCATGCTCATAGATAATTGGAAACCATGATGCGCAGCCCATGTACGTGCAGGATGCATTGGTATTCACTGTTGGACAAGTGGTTCGTGACATTCGCCGCCCGACATCTGCGTGGGGACATGACAGCCGTCCGCGATCGGCGCAACCGGCCACCAACCGAGCCGCGCTACAGTCGCCGCGTTGCGCCGGACACGAGTCGGCGGCGCCAGAGGACGGAGAAAAGGGGAGAGAGTCAGAGCGAGGGAGAGCGAGAAAGAGAAAGAGAGAGAGCGAAAACAGAGACATAGAGAGAGGCGTGTGACGCTACTGACAGGGAAGGCCATCGAATCAGCATGCGAACAAGCAGGAAGCCGTGTACGCTCCATGCGGCCGACTCGATCGGAGCAGCCAAGCGAGGTGGAGTGGACGGGGAGGGGCCGAACCATTGCCGTGGTCTTCGGGGGCGGGGCGGGCGGGGACGGGACCAGCAGCGCCTCCGGACGGCATGCGGACGCCGGGCGGGACCGCCGGCGCGGGGTGCAGGTGCAGAGGGCGGGGACGACAGCGGCCGCGGCCGGGGACAGTCTGACCCAGCCGGACAGTCCTGAGTGGCCGCCAGTAGCACTCGACCCCGCCTTGGCAACGGGGGATGGGGAGCTGGTTGAGCCAGAGCCAGGGCCGCCCCCCCCCCCCCCCCCCCCAGCGGGCGGCGATACAGTCTGCTGGTCCGTGTGCAAGCGGACATTGAGAGTGGGCGGGCCGTGATTCGCGGCGCCAAACGGCAGGCGTTCTGCCCGGCGGTCAACCGGCTCTACGAGAAGCCTGTGCACCCGGCAAAATTTGCTGCCCAAAGAATTTGGTGTCTGGTACAAAATGCCAGGTGCTCAGCTGAGCTGGTGTGACCCGAAGCAACAATGATTTCCGGGCAAAACATGAATTTTCACAGTGCTACTTAAAAACGACAAACTTTCCATCGCACTGGAGGCCGACAGAAAATAAGCAAATAAGAAATTTTAGCAAGGTTTTTGACGTCCACCGAGCTAATACTCCTATGCTATAGGAAACCAGCGAATGCCCCCTTTAAAAGATATTGCGGTTCACAAAGTGAACAAGCACGAGTTGGGAATATCATAATTTTGATATGCAAGCATAGAACAAACACACGTGCAGCTGTCATTGCCTGCTATGCCGCCTTGATACCTACGTTCGGTCATTAAGACATCATTCGCAGGCCTTTTGATCAAATTTTGAAGGACGCGATCGTTGGTTCATTAACGCGCTTGATCAGAAAATCATACACTAATGGCACTGCAGCACGCTTTGATCGGCCAGCACCCGCATTAAGGGCTGTTACATCACCTGAGCCTACACCAATTTCCGCACCCAAATGTTTTAAGCACAGGACACCGTGGTTCTCATGCCGGCGTGGTCTCTTAACGCAACGATGGTGAACAGGGTGCCCATTAGTTCGTTCTCATCTGCGATGGGTAGGCTTCATGCGGCGAAAGCTGTCGGCGCATATTCGCTACGGCAGTATTTACTGGTTGCATACGTCTATGCGCGCGTACGCAAAAGCTATTTACTGCTGTAAAGGCATGATTGGTAGAGAAACGTGGCCCTTTGACCTTAGCCCCATTCAGCATTATCCAGCAGACTGGGCATCTAACGCGGGAACACTTAAAATTTAGAGCCAGAGCGAAGCACAGTGTGGTCGCTGACCCCCGGCTTTTTGCGAAGTGGTGCCCGTGATATACCCGTGCTGGGGGCGCTAAGCCATCCAAACAGCGGGACTCGGACGTCCAGTATCATTGGACACAGCATGCCGCTGTGCTTCGATACTACGGAATCTGCCACTAAATGCTGTGCGGCATCGGCCCTTTATCCTCAAGACTGTTTGTTGTTGTATCTAGCAAAACTGCCACCGCCTGCCCTGCTGACCAACACACAGCCACCGCAGCCGACCCGAGCCTGTACGTATACGGGCACCACTCTGTCGCGCCCCTACACGATGCAAAACGGTTCTGGGGGGGGGGGGGGGGGGGCAGGTCGATGAAAGAACTACCCGGTTGTAACCTTAATCGGAATGCGTGGCGGCTATATGACATGGAATCGGTGATCTATCCTGCGCAAGGAGAAGCACGTCAACTCTACTACTTCCCTTCCCAAAATGAGGAATCTAGAGTTCCGACTGCTTTCGGGCAGAACAAAGCCCGGATGGCTAACAAAGCCGGACCGGAGATCGGTGCAGCGCTCTAGGCGCTATTCTTAAGAAACGCCTCATGGGAAATGTCGGCTACGTGACGACCGGATCTGGATCAGATGGAAAATGTCAACGAGATATTAAGCTGGAAATATCAGCCATTGATGCACGGGCTCCAGCCTTTCTAAACGCACTGAGCGGCTTAATGTGTGGCATGCCTTCTCTGGTTACAAGGTGACAAGTGATCCACGTCGGATGCAATGGCAAATAAATTAACGTGAGCTAGTATTCTCTGGTTACAAAAAGTCAGGTGATTCGTGGTGGATGCAACAACGAGCAAATTAACGTGAGCAAGTCGGTATCCGGGGTTCAAACAACGTTTAGGTTTGGATTTCGGTCTTAAATAAGAACGAACTGATGGGACACTCCGTGAGGGATCCTAACGAAAACGCGAAGCGTCGTATACAATTTTGCACAGTTGCAAATGCATTCGAACTACCGAGCTGGCAAGGGCCCATTTTCACAGGCATTCCTTAGTTATCCATTCGATGCACGCTTCACGACGTCTGTACATCGGGCAGACATGACAGCATGATTGCACGTTCCGCCGCCTACAGTCGAAAACAAACCAGCCTCTGGTATACTACAGAGCCGCTGCAACAATTTACGACCATGAAAAGAGACACGACAACAGATAATTGTCTATGGTTACCATGGCCAACCAAGCAACAATAAATAGACCAAATGGTGCCAAGTCTTACAGCTTGGTCAGTCGCAGTCTTGCTGTACGGTACCGGCATCAGCCGTCCTTGCAACTCCCCACCAATCACCTTCAAGGAGAGGGGTAAAGTGAGCGGTGAGCACACACAGGAGCGGTGACATGCCGGCCACAGCAGACAGAGCTGGGGAGCTGCTGGCGTGACCCGGGGGGCGGGGGGGGGGGGGGTCGGGGGGCGGGGTCAGGGCGGGCAGAGGGCACGGGACGGGGACCGCGCCGGCGTTCCCGAGAATGGACCCGGTGTTCGGGTCCGGATCACGACCACGACCACGACCACGACCACGACCACGACCAGGACCAGGACCAGGACCAGGACCAGGACCGGGACAAGGAGGACGGCTCAGTCTCTGTTGACCGGGCGCTGCAGCCGGGGCCGACGACAGGGCGTGCGCGCGCCCTCTGCCAGAGCCCGGGCGCGACACGGCCGGTCGGCGCTACTCTATGTGGCAGGGTGGATTTAGTACGCGGGCGCGGCCAGATAGCCTAGCTACTGATGTGCGTGTGAACAGAAACTGCGCCACATGGAAAGTTGAAAGGCCCCATTGTAAGCAAAAAGTTTGCTGGTCGGGTTAGAATCAGGTTACACGCAAAAGTCATCATGCAAGGATTTAGTGAGCAACATCGCCTAGAATGAGGCCTGACAACACCAACACAGGCTATTTACCCCATCAGGGATTGAGCCATCAACATGACTTTGCTGGAATCAGAGAAGGGCAGGTATTAGCGACCAGTGAGGAATGCACGAGAGAAACACCACACCAGATGGAATCCCGTCACCACACCTTGATACGGAGGTGCGAAGAGAAATCCGAAGGGTAGAGTCAACAGACGGCGGCAGGGGGAGAGCCAAGGGATGGAATACCAGCATACAGGGACACACTCCAACCGGATGACGGACTATGTACACAAGCCAGGGCCAGAGAACTGCGCGCGCGCTCCGACTCGGGGGTCACCGGCACGCCGGCGCTTCAGGTCGGCCGGCCGCGTCGCGGACGGCCAGCTCACGCCGCGCGGCCGGCTAGTTCACGCCGCGCGGACGGCAAGCTCACGCCGCGCGGCCGGCTCGGTCACGCCGCGCACCTCGGTCGCGCCGCGGCCGGCTCGGGTGCGCCGCGCGCCACCAGCGGCCGCCGTTTTGGCCGGCTCGCCCGCGCCGCGGCTGGGCGGAGGCCCGGACCGCGACCGACTCGCTCGCGCCGCCCGCGAGCAGCCCCAGTCGTGGCCGGTTTGGTCACGCCGCGGACAGATGCGATTCGCGGCCGCCAGATGAGTGCGGGAAGCGTCGGGTCTGGGCGGGACCGAGTGCACGCGTGTACGCGCGCGCGCGTGTGTATGTGTTGGGTATGTGGATGTGCTTACGTACGCGTGTCCGTGTTGTGAGCGTGTATGTTCATTGGTGAGTGGCGCGAGTGATGCAGCAGCTTATTAGTCAGCAACTTAACTCTAGCATTCATGACGAAGCTGAATCAATAAACAAAACAGAGCAGTGAAAAAGAAAGAAAGATGTAGAGACAGGGAGACAGAGTGAGAGATAGATAGCGAAAGCGAGAGAACGGGCTATGTACGCATACGGGAGCTAGAGAGAGGAAGAGCGGTTGGCCTGGCGTATGGTACAGAATTAGAGCGGACCTTCACCAGGCTGCGGCTGACCCGATGCGGCGGCGGATGATGAGGAGGGTTTTGGTAAGGTGTCCGAGCTGCGGGGGCTCAGGGGCGGCAGACGGAGCTCACCGCTGCCGGACGCCCACGTCTGGCTGGGCAGCTGGCCGCTGGACTGGGCGGCCGTCGCCGACGCCGAGGCCGCCGCGGATGCGGACGAGCCCTGCATGCGGACGCCGTAGGAGGCGCCACCAACCGAGTTGCGACTCAGCCGGCTCGAGATGGAAGGGTGCAGGCGGGCCAGGACATCCGGAGGGTTTTCGTGCGGGTCAACGCCGGGTAGGGTGGTCTGCGCCAGGGGGGCCGTCGGACCATCAGGGACACGGACACATAGAGGGAGGCCACAATCGCATCGGGCTAGTGGAGGCCGTGCAGGTTACAAATACACGTCTACAAACCGGGTGGGGGATGGACACCCTCGCCCGTATATGTGAAGCACCAGCTAGCTGAGGCCCGATAGACGAGAGACAGGCGCGGTGCGGTGCTCAAAGACGAATGCCCACCCGTCAATTTAGCTAGATCGACAATGGACCGGCGTCGGCGCCACCCGACGCCGGTCGACCCTCCTCCGTCTTCTGCCGGCCGTTGGTCGGTTTGTCTTCCTCGTCTATGTAACTGATGTCAGATACAGGCTTATGACCGGGCTGACTCCGATAGGCACGCATATTATGCAAGCTTTGCAAGCTATGGCAGGAGCGCCGCTCTTCCAAATCCTCCAGGTTGGACTTGAAAGCCCGGATAACACGCAGCTGCAATCAGGGGATGAGAGTCATAAGACTCCCAAAAACTAAACACAGTAACGAACAGAGAAAATAAAAAGAAGTAAAACGGTGTCACAACTCGCTACACTTTGTATATCGTGTGCAAGGCGTCGATACAAGGGGTATGTACACTAAAACTCACTCAAATTGGTTATTGGGTGTCGGAACTACTAGAATGCACCCCTAAACACGTGGTCAAACGCTGGTTAGAGCTCTGCTGTGAAATAAATCACTATCACAGTTGTGATGAACAACACAGGGTGAAAATAGCACGCTCGCACAGGTAGGAATCAACCGAAAGTGTAGAACAGCTGGTGTCAAACAAAAGGTACCATCAACGCAACTAGATGTGGACACGTGGTGGTAATGCAATGGACGCCGCATGCGATTTCCGGAAGCCAGAGTGGTGTGGTGGTGGTGCGTCCGTGCATGGAGACGAGTGCCGGTTCGCCGATCGGACTGCAAATGCCGCACCGTGCGGCCGACGCTCGCGCGCCGCGACCCTCGCTCGCGCGCTCCGTCGCTGTCGACTCGCTACAGACGTGGCCGGCAGGGCGCGGCTAGCGGGCAGGGTAAGCGGACAGAGGTCGGACAGACACACCAGCGCCCGGGAACACACGCACACCCCGCAATCCACACAAAAACCAACACGGCGACCAACCAAAGGCGACAAAACGCGTGGGCGGGTGAGAGGCCAGCAGAAGGAGAGAGCGGCAGGGGGAGAGAGCGTGGGGGACGCCGGTCGGACGACAGACGTGTGCAGATGGCGCAAGCGTCGGCCGGCGCCGTCGATGCGGCGGCCCGGGGAGCCTCCATTGATTTCTCGTCGCACTTCGGTACCCGGGTGTTTGCGCGGTGACATTTGCGTGCGGCGGCGGAGCGGGAGGCGCCGCGCCCGGCCGGGTCGGCGCTGCTGGCGGCAGCGGCAGCGGCGGCGGCCGCGCTGGCGGTGGCGGTGGCGGTGGTGGTGGCGGTGGCGGTGACGGGCCGCTGGCCGGCCGCCATCACTCGCCGGTTTCGACAGGCGCCGCCACTCTGACGGCCGCCGCCGAACCGACGATCAATGGGTGTCCCGGCACACCTCGGCCGCCGCCGCCGCCGCCGCCGCTGGCACGTGCGCACCGGCCGCCGCCGCCGCCGCCTCCGCGCGACGCGGCGCGCTCCGCGGCCGGCGCCGGGCCGCCCACCGACCGGAGATGGCGGCGCCGGCCTACCATCACAGCCAGCCCCGCGGTACTGAGAAACCGCCCGTGCGCGCTCCTGGCAATTGCTGGATGGGTGCACTTTCCGTCCGAATTTCATCAGCCCCTGATGCACAGCAGAGGGCCTCGCACCTAAGACCGCTAGCATGGCGGTACTAAGTAGCACGCCGTTTCACCTAGCACCGGGCCAAGCGATTGACGGTTCACCCTCGGACGGGGATGCGCCTGAGAATGGCTGGGGAGCGGCGAGACTCTCGAAGCGGACCACCCACAGCCAGATAACCGGGCGTTCAGCCGAGCTGCCATCCATAAACACATCCCTGATGACAGCATTCCGGCGATTTAATTTTCCTCCCAGAATACCAGAACATCAAAGCGATCACGCCGAGTCCCCGCCATTCATCAAATGAAAAGCCACCGACAAAACGGGATATATTTTACGACTACGGTGTCCGTCACTAACGAGCGGGAGTTTCCGTGATGGGCGCTCAAACGATTGGTAGACAGGCTGGGAGTTCCATCCCATAACACGTGGGGGCGCGCGCGGGACGGAGGACTGCCCGGTGCCCCTGCCTCACGGGGGCGGCGCGACTCACACCCGGCTGGATGGGGCGACCTTTCGCCATGCCGAACAACGTCACGGCGACCGTTGGCGCACGACCGAAGCCGCGTAACTTTGCCCGACCAGGGAGACAACTATTCTAATTGCATTGCCACTCCCGCCGCATCGGAGTGCTTCTAAAATCCGATCCCATTCGCCCGGGCTGCTTCGATGCATGGCATTAACTTGTCCACCTTCACGCTTCAGTTCGTCCGCTCACTCAAAACGGAGCCCTTCTCGAAACAGAACAGCTGTTTTGAGCCTCGATCTATAGAATAGGTCAATTCGTTTCCGGATGAAAAACACGGATATTTGGGAAGCCTCGCGTTTCACTTGGCGCATCCGTGATCGGGAAGCCACGCAACTGCACAAAGTTTAAACATTACGTTACGACTACACCAATGAGCCAACAATGCGCGTTAAATCACGCGCACCACGACCCGCACATCGAAACTGAGCATTCCGTCGAATCGCGTCGAGCCCACGACCGAGCCGCGGGGAGCCGAACTCCGAGAGAGGGCAGGTGGTGGGTGCGGACACGTTTGATGCAAGACGCACTTTAAAGCAGAGATAGGGAGTGAGAAATTGCTGACAGGTCACGGAGGAGAAATGGTGAATTCATGCTGATCAGCGTGGACGACGGGCGGCCGACTGGCACGCAGGCTCTTCAGCCATTCTCGACAGAGAACACAAGATGGCCGATCCGTTCAGACCGCATACGTAATGGTGCAATGGCCTTTTTGTACAAATGTAAAACTTCTTGAGCAACGAAAAATCACGCCTAGACTCGCACGGGGCCGATATGTCCAGCAGAGTCTCAGAGAGCGTGCGCACGCCAGAAACCCCCCAAACAATAATCAGCAACGGCTCTACCCCAGACTGGAATCGAAGGCATGATTGTTAATACATGGACGGAGCCCAGAACACATTCCAGCATGCCGTTGCGCAGCTGAGTCGTCCCGCCAGGTGTGTGGGGAGCCGGCAGCGGCCGGCCGGAGGGCCGGCGAGAGGCACGCGACGCACGCCGGGCGCCCGGCAGTCCCTACCTGAGTCTGCAGCCGGGTCAGGCCGCGGATCCACAGGATCTGACCCGTGGTTTTCCGCCGCTCCATCGTGCCCATGCCATTGTCCTCGTCCACCACGGTCGGCGACGATATGATCTCCTCGGGGCTTGCGCTTCCCCACCTGGCGGGCGGGGCACGCGGCGATACCGTCAGCGGCGCCCCAGCGAGCGCCGACAGGACACGGGCGCCAGTGCGAGTTAACGGCACCATGCGGTGTTCGCACCGAGTGTCGACGCGATACGAACCAGCAGACGATCTCGTCTCAGCTTGCACGATTTTCCCGCGTCATCCAGCCAGTCCTCGCCTGATCTGCGTCCCGGGTCATTGCACACTTCCAAACATAGATAAACACAGACCTCGAGGTCGTAAAGCATAGCGCAGTCATCAGTCCTTATCTTATCATTAGCATGTGATCAAGCTGATATGGCGATTCAGCAAACGTACCAACTAATCCAGCGGCTTCCCTGATGTCGATGACGACCCTAAAGTCAGGGACCAGCAAGCAGACCCGCCGGTGGGAGGGAGGGACGATCTCGGGCGCCAAGTACTCACGAGAGGATTTTCGGCATGGCCCTGGTGGGGATGCACGTAACAATCTGGCCCCAGGGCAGCACGCCGCAGCCCAGGAACACACACCAGCCCCACTGGTCCAGTTCGAGCGCCTCCGTCTGGAAGAACCGGCCGCCAAACTGCACCAGGACAATCTGCAAAGGTCAGCCCGGGTCAGGTCAAGTCAGGCTATCTCACGGCCGCCTGAATGGAACGACCCATGTGGCAGCAGCGTCAGGCTGACGCGGGAAGCACCGCGTTCGCTTCGACGCTTAAGATTCCACCCGATGCCGGATGCACTGTGCACCTCGTGACCGTCGTTAGCGCTATAAATGGCTGCAATAAAACCGTGCCCTGCAATCAACGCCACTTTGGACATCGGAACATGTTAACCGTAAAGGCGCATACAATGATCATAAAACGCCAGGGCACTGCCCACTGACGTTCGAATCAATGCCAGCGAAACTCCCAAACCTTTTCGAAAAAGACAGCAACCAACTAGCATTACGATTCCACATCGCGTACTGTTCAAAGCACCCAATGCACTTTCAGCCTGACAGGATAAATACTAATGTCGCGTTTTGGGCCAAGCGAGCCCAGATAATCGGCATATTTCGGATTTACGACACCGTTATTATGTGCATGAAATGCCGAAACCACAAACTACAGTGTCGCCTTGCCCACGTCCAGAGAACTGGGGCGCAGAAAATAAAGGGAGCTGCCAAAGAGTTGGGAATACTTATAACTTAAGTTAGGTGAGCACTGGCCATATCACCCTTTTCCTCGAAACTGGCAACCTCACTAAAATACACTGAGACGCACCCTTACAAAATGCGACTTGGCAGTAGCTTCTGAGGCCAGAGGTTCCATAACATACACACGTTCTCAACGCATCCGCGGACACTGGTTCAGTACATGTTCAGTACTATCGGGGATACAGGAGTTTTATGCATCGGCGAATTGCCCTGTCCTTTCACTTACAGCAATGTGATTATGAGCACCACAGTTATTGACAAAAAGAAGGAATTGCCAGGCCTTCTTCGAACCAGGAGATGACGCCTTGGGCTTTTACGCATATAAGATGTTTTTTACCAATGGCAGGCAAGATCCCAGGCAGGAAACATCAGCTTAAATAGGAAATCGGCATCAAGGTGCGCGATGTTGGCATGATCACGGCATGGCGACCAGCAGACACGCGCCAAATGCCAAGTTCTCAAGAAAACAGCAGCTTGTAGCGCCGAGTGACGTAATTCTGCGGCGGTGCAAAACATTCGTTGGACGATTATGTAGCAACTTGCACATACGGTCAGTATTATCGTTACGAGCGGATTTTAGTCCCGTGTTGTTTCAATAACACTGAACTTAAGCCTTCGATCGCGCATACAGTTCTGCCTAGGTGAAGTCACCGTTTGGAAGTGTCCTAAGCAGGAACGTCTTCCAGTCTCTTTCAATACGTACATACAAAACGAGCAGAAAATCGATATTCCAGCAAAGTCGTAACATCCGTTTTGCAGAAAGGCTGAAAGCAAACATAACCAACTCGGTGACAATCCCGTACGCATGGATGGAGCTGCTTGCCGCCATCTCACGCACCAAGCGAAGGGGAGCGGAACTGAACGCCAACGGAAACGGGGCCGATTTCTGCTAGAATGAACACAGCGGTCCGCCGGGACCGGCGTCAAATTTGGTCTCAGCGAAGCACACACAGCTGCCGCACAGCGACACTGTCCAAGCGTCACGCGGAAAGCCTGTCCCACCATCAAGCATCGGCGGAAATGCGGCGTTACCGCACGTGCAACGACCTGCCACTGGAGCCCCACAGCCCCAACACATACACGTGCGTATGCGAAGGCATGACGCACGCGAGAGGCATGGCTTCGACAGCTTATTAAAATCGTGCTATTCGACAACTTGTTAAACTCGTGCTATGAGTGCAGTGGTCGAATAACAACATACATCATGCCGCGTGTGACAGCGGGGAGTTATTCCATCCGTTATCCGACTACGTGGAGGACGTGAAGTCAAACGACGGGAGTGTGACAGGCGCGTGATGCGAGACGCAAGCAAATCCGGAACCGCAAGTGCATTTTAGTTATCACGACCACGAGGGTACTTGACAAAACCGGCAAATCAAATATACAGCAACGAAGTGTCCAACATGTCATGGCATATGGCAAAATGCTTTCTACTGCATGTTGTAATCAAACAAGCTATGTTTCACCTTAACTGCGTTTCAGTGTGCTAATAATTGTGGTTGATCGGGCGGGCCGGATGCTTTGTCATCCCTCGCCCGTCAAATACGACACTTCGGAGCATGGTCTGGATGACTGAAGGCCAAAGGATCCATTTCAATTTTGCCAACTAGGGCTTCGTGCGCTTTTTAAATTCCACAACATCCATACTAACGCGGTTATTCTTCGATGAATTGCAATACCCAGCGCCCAACGTAAGTGAAATGAGGCTGGCCTGGCGGTATTCTGGAGCGGATCGCAGCCAATCCGCGAACGAAGCGAAACGCGGGGCAGGCGATCACTACACTGCGGAGGTCCATTGCAGCAAATGCTAGCACTACACCTCACATTAAACACATTGCTCTGCTTGCTATTCAAAGTTGTCGAGCTGTTTTCAGGTATATTTCAACCCGTTCGTTTTCAGCAGTTTTCAACGATTGACGTCACAACTGTCCGACCAATAGGTAAGTTTGCATTCGCGAGAAGCCGCTGATGTCGCCTTTTCTGAAATCGGCCTCAGTTATTGGTCTCTCCGCGGCCTAAGCCGTCAGATTGGGCTATCAAAACCACGTAGACAGGTTAAGACAGGTAGACGAAGTAGCGTGCCCTGTTGTAACCAATATGTACTCCAAATATTTGTTTTTCCTGATACCTCGGTCACCGTAATGGCTCCACATTCATCCTCTTCCAACGTCAAATGTGTCAGTCCTTGGAGGGCCCAAAGCCAGCCAATATTGCAGAGATGCCGTTCGTCCATGTGTATGCGGACGTTAGGCACCAGTCCACCCTTGCGCAACCAGCACAGTCATAAAAGGAGGGCATTGCAGAGTATTGATAGTACTACCTGCACGGGTCCCAAAAAGGCGGCAGGCTTTATTCCCTTCCACTCAGGCAAACGTCTACACAGAAACAGCGGTCATATATGGCATCACCTCGCTCATCCCATGTCACAGAAGACATCTCACTATTTAAATAAACTTGTGCATAACCGCCCCCCCCCCCCCCCCCGCCCACACTCCCATGCCTCAACAACCAAGAATGACTTGGCTGGTCATGTGGCAAGAAAATGGCAAGGGGGGTGGAAACTAGATCTTTTTTGACCGGTGTCCCGTAAACTTTCGTATGACTGCAATCATGTACGCCAACAAGAAAACAATCGGTAGATTCAGTAACCGTGAGTCAGGCGATAAGATTAATGTATGATGTCGCGCAGCATAACATAGGATGATCTTGCATTTCATTTTCGACACACACAATCTGGACGCATTAAGAGAAAATGGGAGTTTCAAGTCCCTGTCTCTCGGTCTGCCTGCTAAAGGAGGAAATTCGGGTAAAACCAGTTCAAATCAGATCGAAGTGATGTGAAGGACTTCCATTTTCAGCAATGCTAGTGTTTGTCGATACAACGAATTTGTTTAACGTCAAATTGGGAGTAAAACGATCCTACCTTTAGGAGCGGCTCGTCAGTTCACTAAATTTCTAAAGCCTAAATTGGGCTAGACACGATTGGGCCTCCAAGTAGCACCAGGGTTGGACAAAAGCAAAACGACGATCTCCTCACCTGCGCCACGAACGTCCCCAGCCATATGCAGTAGAAGATGGGGTTGGTGAAGATGCCCCTGAAGATGTTTCGCTGGCCGTGGATCTTCCTCGAGTTGATCTCATTGAACAGCGTCATCATCACGAACGTGTTGAAGATGAAGGTGAAGTGCTGGGACGGCGGCTCGCCCGGCTCCGCGTACCGTCCGTCGTCAATGTCCAGCAGCCGCTCTCCTGCGGGCGCGGGGCGCCGGACGGTCACCAGCTGTGGCGCGGTCAGCGGCCGCCGCCCGCCGCGCCCGCTCCAGGCGGCCGACACGAGCCACATGGCCAGCCTGCATTGTTCAGCCGCCGCTGAGGGCCCCGGCAGGCCCGCGCGTCCGGTCGCCGGGGGCGGCCTCCGCGCTGGCGCCACGCCACCGTCAACAGGGCACGGCCGCGGCCGCCGCGGCGCCGCACCGGCACTCACCGACGAACAGCAGGGTGAAGATGATCGTCCAGCTGATACACTGCCTGGCCCGGGATGTTGGTCACAGGATGGCCGCCGCGGCGCCGGGCCGGCACTCACCGACGAACAGCAGGGTGAAGATGATCGTCAGCTGATACACTCGGCGCAGGACCGGCACTCACCCACGAATAGCAGGTGAAGATTGATTGTCAGCTGATACACTGCCTGGCCCGGGAGGTTGTCACAGGATGGCCGTCGCGGCGCAGGACCGGCACTCACGACGATAGCAGGGTGAAGATGATTGTCAGCTGATACACTGCCTGGCCCGGGATGTTGGTCACAGGATGGCCGTCGCGGCGCGGACCGGCACCGACGACGAACAGCAGGGTGAAGATGATCGTCAGCTGATACACTGCCTGGCCCGGGATGTTGGTCACAGGATGGCCGTCGCGGCGCAGGACCGGCACTCACCGACGAACAGCAGGGTGAAGATGATCGTCAGCTGATACACTGCCTGGCCCAAGATGTTCTTGGTCATGGTGCGCGAGATGAGCGGCGTGGTGCGACCGTACGGCTTCCGCAGCAGCAGCTCTGGCGTCGGCGGCTCGGTCGCCAGCGCCAGCGACGCGAACGTGTCCATAATCAGGTTCACCCACAGCATCTGCACCGCCTGGCGGGACACGCGGGGCGTCAGGCCGGCGCCGGGCTCGCCGCTCACGCCAATCAGGGTGGCCCACTCTCGCGCGCCACGCTCGTTTGCCGCCCGTCTGGCGACAATGGCCGCCAGCCACGGCGCGCCCGCATACGAACACGGCCACCGCGCACGGCTCGGCCACAACAATGGCGCACGGCGACGGAAACAGCTGACCCGCTCCGCGCGGAAATAACGCTGCGGCAACACGGCACGACGCGGCGGAACACAGGCAACTGCCGTCGTGCCGTCACACCCCGCGGCAATGGCGAACGTGACTGACACCGTGTCGAAGACCACGCAATGGCCCATCACCCGCTCCTCACATTCCTCGGTCGGCACCACGCTGGGCGTTCCTCACCTTGAGAGGCGTATCATCCACTGCACACGCACCGATGAAAGCAACTAGTACAGCCACCACGTTCACTGTAAGCTGGAACTGCAGAAACTTGGCTATGCTATCATACACATTACGTCCCCACATCACGGCCTTCACTATACTCGTGAAGTTATCGTCGGTCAATATGATATCCGACGCTTCCTTGGCCACGTCGGTACCAGCAATGCCCTGAAATGAGAACAGAGACACGAGCGTCACACACAAGTGCACCACCTCCAGCCAGCCGGTCTCGGCGCTGCCTTCTCCCCCATTTTAAGTCCCGGCGGTACTTGCCCTCGCGCACGTCGCTGTAACAAGCGCACCCTGGGCGCCTCTGAAAATCGTCCGCCCTGGCAAGGGGAGTGTCGAAATCCGCCCCACGGCTATCAAAACCATACAAGGTGGGGACACGAGCTTCGTTAGGTGGTTGGCCGTCGCAAGGAACTGTTCGTGTGTTGTCTGTGAAATTTTGGAGACCCAATCCAGCTCGGCTAGGCCAAATTGGGTTTGGAAACATTCTCGGCCTGCGTTAACATCGCTGACCCCTCCCCATCTGGTCCCGCACTTGTAGCTTTGCAGGCCCATAACATTCACAACTTGTGTATTTATTTGGACGAATATCACGATACGTTCTCATTCGAAGTCAGTAAAACTCGATATAAGGTTTCTTTATTACGGATCGATCTACACACAACCAACAGGGGTGCACCCCGCCCTTCCTCCTGGGCGCGTGTAACTAAACGTCCGCCTGGGCTAAAGCAATAACTCATGGTACGTTTAAGTTGCGTTTATCACCCGAGAACCACCCTAAAAACCGCAGCACGGCATCTAGCGTCCCGAGCCCAGCGGCGAGTGGTCCAGTTACGCACCATGGCAAAGCCGACGTCGGCCTTCTTGAGGGCGGGCCCATCGTTGGTGCCGTCGCCGGTGACTGCCACCACCTCGCGCGTGTTGCTCATCTTGCTGTCGATCATGCCCTTGACCAGGGTGTACTTGTCGGTGGGTGAAGAGCGCGCCAGCACCCGCAGCCGCGGCCACACCTTGTCTAGAAGATGCTGCTGCACCTGCACGCGGGAGGCGGGCGGCCAGCTGTCAGACGTCCGGCGCTCTGGCGACCGGCCAGCGGCAAACACTGGCGCAACCCAACGACCGATCGGCCGCTCCGCAGTAACAGAGGGGCAGAGACGGAATGGATTCGGCCCAGCCTCCAGCAGCGAAGGAAGCCGTGATTTCCATTCGGGCCGCCAAATAGATGCATGAGGTTTCTAAAATGGCGTTGGATTTAAGATACTTCGAACGCACACCGCCGGCTTGGCAGTGATTGTCGCAGACTGGCTAGCACATTTCGCTAAGATGACTTGGTGGCCTGCCCCTATTCTGGGCGGCGCCCAACCACTTAGCTCACCAACAGAAAGCAGCGAAAAATCTCCCACAGCCCAACAAATGGCGGCAATCGTCATTTCAGGCAGTCTCACATCAGCCCAGCCAATTTCTATTCGACAGGCCAATCGCGCCGAGTCCGATGCGTCTCAGAGTCGCGGCCGGCGCCAAGTGCGGGCCACCGTGGGGCCGGTCGGGCGCGGCGCCAGCAGCCGCCACCCCGGGCCCCGCCGCCTACCTGTCCGGAAGCATCGCGGATTCGCCGGTTGAACTCTTTGCCCTCGAGGATGAGGAAGTCGCTGCCGGGGCTGACGATGCCGCACTTCGTGGCAATGGAGCGGGCCGTGTTCACGTTGTCGCCGGTCACCATGCGCACCGTGATACCGGACCGCTGGCAGCTCTTGATGGCCGCCGGCACTTCGGGCCGCACCGGGTCCTCGATGCCCACAATGCACAGGCACGTCAAGTTGTTGATGATATTCTCCTCGTCGTCCAGGTTCGGCTCGTGCTCGATGTGCACCTGCCGGCCGAGCGCAGCGTCAGAGGCGCCGCCGCCAACACCAGGTCCGCATCACCGGTGCCCAGCCTCGCGTCGCCCCGACGGCCGCCGCCGATCGCGGCTCCGGCGCCCGCCGCCGCCGACTCGGCCGGCGTGCACGCACCTGATTGATCTCGGCCTTGCCGGTGACGAAGTCGCGGTAGGCGACGCCGATGGTGCGCAGGCCGTCGCACGCCATCGGCTCGATGACGTCGCGCACTAGCCGCTCCTGCATGGAGGGCGTGAACTTCTCCAGCTTGCCGTTCGGGCCGCAGATGAAGGCGCACCTGGCGAGCGCAGACAAACGTGCAGGCTCCCAAGCAAGGCACATCACGACATCGACGCTACGAAACGGCGGACTCCCTGACGGCAAACAAAAGCTTGACAACTGTATTGCAAACGGTTGTCAGTTTAAGGCAGCTGCACAGACACCCCAGCCATGTTAAGTCATCTGATAGCTGACCCATCCAAACCGTCCAATGCAGATAAATACAGCCCGGTCAGAAATATATCATCCGGCTTCCAAAAGTCCCTGTGAATCAAGCGATAAAAGGATCCTTACAGCCCACAAAACCGCATCTTCCAGCACATTAGCTACTGCCTCGGTGGCTGCCGATCCGTTTTAAGTCCGCCGGCGCCGTCCCCGCCCTCCATCCGGCGCACGGCGCCGCCGCGCCCGCCCCCTCATCCATCTCGCGGCGCCGGTCTCACGAGCGGACGGCGCAAGGTCATTACCGAAATGGTGTCAGCGGGCAAACAGCGCGCCACAGCCGACAGCGCCCGGGGCGGCGGCGGTGAGGGGACGTTGGTCGGTCAGCCGGCGGGCGCCGCCGCTGGCCGCCGCTAGCCGGCGTCCCGCCAGGAGCGTGACCCCTCCCCAGCCCGCAGCCGCCGACGCCGAGAACGGGCCGACTGGCGTTACCCTGCGCCTGCCCCCGACAGGTGCGGGGCTGGCGCAGGTCGCGTCGGCGGCGGGCGGCGGGCGGCGGCGGCCCGTCGGCGGGCGCGCCGCCGCGACCGCCGCCGGCTGTCAGGCGACTGTCGACGCCGACAGGCCTGGCTGGCGGCGCCCGGGCCCGCCTCCGACGCCAGCCGGCGGACAACAGGCCCGCCAGGGCACCAACAAAAACAGCTGGCACGCAGCAAAAACTGGCTGTCACCGCGCCCAGCTGCCGCACTCGGGGCGGCGCTCCGTTTCACCGCGGCCAAGCCGAGCTGGTGGGTGTCGCCCGCTCCCGTAACGAGCGGCGGGCACGGCAGGCAGTGATGGAGTGGAACAAGCTGGCGCCACCCGGTCGAGTGTGCGCGTCAAAGGCACGCTCGACCATGTTCGGTTACAAGCTTCCGCTCAGTCAGTATGTAATCGCGACCAGATAAACCCGTCAGGCGGAGTCGCCAGCCGATCAGAAATATGTCGCCGCTCTACGCTTATCGTCATAATGGCATGTGTGAGTTGTTTGTCATACGTAGCGACATAGGCCCTCTCAGGTCGTCAACATCGCCTCCGGTGAAAACCGAGGCCAATTAATAATACAGCTGTCGAGCCAATCGCAAGCCACGAGGCGTTTTTTCGACAGGGACACTTATCGGAGAATTACCCCCAAATTGCCATTCCTCCAAAGTCAATTTGAGATACATCTTTACCGGAATATACGTGTGATAAGCTCATCGTCTTTCTGTTGATTTCCTTGAAACACATCAGAACAGTAAAATTACAGCGTACTTCGGCCAGACAAACACACAAGATCGAAATATGCTATAGTTTGCTATCTAAAAAAGGGGAAGGATAACTTTCATATCTCTCTATAAACAAACCGACGTCGCGGTTTTCAATGTCAACAGGCCGCCAACAGATGCTGGCATTATCCTCAAATGCAACACAGATGGTCTGCCTGGTACGCAACATGTGCCCCGACCCGTAAGTCACTTATCACTCGTACCATTGCAGCACTATGCCATACCATTGCAGCATATCACTACGGGGGGGGGGGGGAGCCAACCATGAAAGGCATCCGATTCCACGTACGCCTGAGCTCACGGCTCACAAATAGCAGCACAGCCCACGCACCTTTGCATGATTATTTCTGAGGCGCCTTTGGTGTAGACCCGGTAGCCACCTTCAGGTGTCTTCACCACGGTGCTCATCGATTTGCGGACAGAGTTAAACGTGTACACTTTGTGCAGACTCTCCTCAGGATTGTCTTCGCGAACTTGATGATAGCTCTTGCCCAGCTGCTCCACCAGCCCTAGGAGTGCGCACTCGGTCTTGTTTCCCACCTGCTTAGGCGCGTCGCCATCCTTCTCCTGCAACAGCAGAGGTGGATGAAGTGCGCATCCGGCGTCACTGGGCGCGAGAGCAGAGCGGTGCAAGCTGCCTTGACGACCGCGATGCTTCTGAGCGCCAGGAACTCGACGAAATCAAAGCCATAAATCCTCAAATATTCACTAGGACGTAGGCAATAAATCACACCGACCCCCATGCAATCGATGCCCAATATGGCGAGACGAGCGGCGGCATCGCCGATGTAGATCCGCATCAGACCAAAAATAATGACGTGATCTCCTCACATGAAATGCCACGGTCAAATATATTCGCACCACCCATCCAGACGCTCGGCGCAACACAAAGACGGCACAAGAGCGGGCAACATCCGCGTCCGGCCCGCACAGCGGGGGATGGGCGTGGGCGTCGGGATGGAGCGGGAGCACCCTGCCGCCTACTCACGATGATCATGGACGTGTAGCCGCTGTTGATGGAGATGCCCTGCACGATGAGGTCGGCCACCTGCGGCGGCAGCTGCTCGAACTTGGGGATCTGCTTGAAGCGCTGTCCGCCCACGTACACCTCGACGGCCGTCATGCGGTTGGTGGTGAGCGTGCCCGTCTTGTCGGAGCAGATGGCTGTGGCGTTGCCCATCGTCTCGCAGGCGTCCAGGTGACGCACCAGGTTGTTGTCGTCCATCATTTTCTGTCGGCCCGGGCAGGTGCACGTCACTACCGCGGTTCACTCCACACGTGGGCTTGCCATTTCCCACCGATACCAGGAGGCAGATGTAACAACTACGCGGCATTGGCGTGGAACAAGGAGTCCAAGGAAGCAAAACATTCCGTGTCAAGTCTGTGAAGTGATGACACTCGGTAGCATTACGGACGCTCAATTGGGTCCAGAAACGTGACGATCTGTTTGTCGCATCAAAGTGAGGTGCACTACAATCGGTACAACGTGACACGGTAGCCACATTGCGGCGAGATACACTGCGGCCAGCACCACATGGCAAAGCATGAAGCAGACGCTGGGGTGGAAGACATGGGAGTCGCCCGTGCGCTGAGGTAACACGCAGCCACTCACCCGGACCGAGTAGGCCAGCGAGAGCGTGACGGCTAGCGGCAGACCCTCCGGCACGGCCACCACCAGCACCGTCACGCCGATGATGAAGAAATTCACGAACACGCCGAAGTACTTGGGCTTCCACGACTCGTCTTCGATGACAAACTTCTGTATGCAGAACTTCACGACCAACACGATCACCACCAGGATGGCCATCAGCGAGCCGGCGTATCCGATCTGGATGGCGAGCTTGGTCAGCTTGGCCTGCAGCACGGATTTCTCCTTGCCGCCCACTCCTCCACCTCCGCCACCGCCGCCGCCGGAGGATCCGCCGCCACCGCCGCCGTCAGCGTCGCGCCCGGGCCGGTCGTTGTGCTCGGTGGTGGTGATGATGGGCGGCGCTTTGGCGGCGGCGTGGTTGTTCCCCAGCCCATCCTCGACGCTGGCCGAGCCGTCGGCCCCGGCCGCCGTCGCCGCAGCTGCTGGCACAACACGGCTCTGTCACGGACAGCGCTGGCGCCGGGACGCTGCGACACACGCGCGCGCCGCGGCGGCGCCGACGAGCAGGGCCGGTCGCCACGTTCAGCCGCTGATGGCAAGTCTGCCGCTGCTGCGACTTAGAGCTGGTGGCGTGGTAACTGCAGCGAAAACTCTCTCCTTCTCGGATACGTCTGCGCTCTCAGCCGTCATCGACACACGCAAACCACGCAAGTGCAGGCAGAGAAAACACTCCATCTAAAGCGAACATCCAAAACGCGGAAAGCTACCCAGCGCATGCACGTTAGCCGGGCAAAGCGGCTGCGAGCGGCGCACAGGCGGTAGCTGGTGAGCCTCGCCCAGCGCCAGCCTCGGCACGTGTGCGCCGGGGCCGCGCCGCCGGCCGGGCCACGCCCAGGTCAGTACCGTCGCTGACGCTCATGTTGACACTGCTGCGCGGGTTCAGAATGTGTTCGATGCGCTCGCTACCCGACGGATAGACGCGCTGGAACGGCTCTGGAAGGGAACGAGGAGGTGGGGGAGAACGGATGGCAGGACATTCAGGTTTGGGACATTCCACGTGGGGGTAGAGGGGCTAGCTTAACATAACGGAACCATTGACACCCACTCACGGCACGGAATAGACGGGGGACGAGGGCTACAGGAAAACCACCACCAAGTTAGTCGATAAGCCTCGGAAGCGTGCTGCGCGCCAAGCCCAACCACCGGTAGGGTGAGGGATCAACACGACCGACTGATATGGACATAACCATATGGAACTGAAGGGTGTGTTTGACAGCGATGGTGTTTGTGTTTCTGATCAGAACCTTAATCACCCAATATAGCCATTCCTAAAGGCCTGCATTATCAAACAGCTGCATCCAACTGAACCGCATCAACAAAGCTCCGATTTGGACTCGAGTTCACGTTGAAGGCTTCATTGGCACACCGGTCCTTTTCACTATACACTACGATGAATTTCATGCAGACACAAGCACCTCTGCCGACCGCAAAACACCGTTTTACCTCTCCACGGACCGCTGACTCCGACTAGGGCCAGATTGAATCCTGATATCAGCCCCAAAATGGGCTTCAGCACAGGCCAGTGGAACAGAACACACCGTCACCCCTCCCAGACATCCTGAATGCATTGGCAGAACTCAGTGTTCACTGTCCTCCACAAGGAACAGCTACGGCTCATACAGTTTCATGACCCGTCCGAGTTCTTCAGGCTCCGAAATACAGCAGAAAGTTCGTTTCTCTTCTAACTCCGCAGGAGTCGGCCCTCAACCGCCGAACTAACCCGCCGCGGACGCGGCAGTCAGCGAAGAGTCACACGACTCGCTGTCCCTAATTGCAGCCGGCGCGGCACTGTCCACGGTATGAGGTCCGTTATTCTACCCTGGAAGAGTGCCTACATTTGGTCAGCGCCGACAAGCCACCCCGATCCCTCTAACCATGGAATGGACCAATGGCTGCTGTGAATCAATACTTATCAGCCCACTAGCCGGCGACCTGAGAGCTAGCACCGCAGTTCGGTGACCTCACATATGGAACCCGCAGGCCCGAACTATGCGTCAACAAGCCATCCCACGCAGTATGTCGTTGCATACCAGCGCCACGGAACGCGACGTCCCACCGCAGCACTGCTGAACAGACGTCACCAGTCACTGCAAGCTCGCGGATAAGCTTAGGTGGGACACGAGCAAGAGCCCTCCGGTCCACCTGTGCGGAGAATTGAGACATGTGGCTGGACCCCAGTGACGGCGGGGCGCCACCCCTCTGCCTGCGCCTGAACCCACGAGCACCGCATGTGGTCATTTGAACGCGGTTACTGAGAGGACGGCGAAGTGCTTTCCACCTACGAAACGTTTCACCCAAATCCGTCCAACATCGAAAAGCCTGACTGAATTCGACGAAAATGTTCGCCCCATTGTTACCAGAACCGTAAAAACGTGGGCTTCATATGAGCCATCCCTTCAACGGGGCCGGCGTATTCGACAATCGAGCACAGCAAGTCCGAGCCCTCCGATGGACCTCACCAGAGAAGGATCGGGTCGGTGCAACCACACAAGAACTACTGCCAACACACAGACACCGACAGCGAAGACCGACGGCCAGCCACACCTCAGTTGGCGCGGGTCACATGAGATTGCACAGAGCGAGCCGAAGCCTCCGCATGCTCTGGCCTGTTGCGCGCTGCACCAGGCGTCAAGTGGAGGGCGGCGGTCTCAGCAGCGTTCCGCGGGCGTCGCTTCTGGTCGTGCATACAACCGAGCCACACAGAAGAGGAGAGCGGCGGGATGCCAAAGAGGAAGCGCTCCCTGCCCTGTCTGTCCCGGAAAACTCGAGAGAAAGGAGAGAAGAGAGAAAGAGAGAGGAGGGACAGAGATGTGCGCCAAAAATCACAAGCATTTAGAAGAAAGAACTCAAAGAGGACAAGGCAGCATTGAAGAGTGTCATTGCTTCCAGCCATTCAGCCAGCATCCAGCTTAAAGGCTTTCAGTTCGTCACCTGGCATATTCTTCCGGCTTTTTCGCTGCTTTTTGGCCTCTACACCGAGAAGAGCGTGTTGAAATAAAACCATGTTAGTGAACAAAACCAAACAAACCAGTCGAACTATGATAGTCTGTGTAAAGATATCAGGTTTATCAGATACACATGCAGTTATTGCTAAAACCAGGGTCAAATCTATCAAGGGGACAATGATCATTCCCTAGTCTAATTGATGAAAAGATCTAGGTCACACATCACTGCAAATAATCTACCATGACCAATCACAATGAGGTAATAAAACCAGCCGGTGCCTGCGCTCTGTAGCGCGGTGTCCAGCGGCGGCGGCGGCTGAGCCGGCCGCACCAGCACTGCCGGCACCGGCTCACACAGGGGAGGGCCACCGCCGGTGGGACCCGGCCAGGCTAGCACATGCCGAGGGGGGAGGGGGGCGGTCGGCCGGCAGTGCGCCGCTACCTTTGCGCCGCCGTTTCGCCTCCTTCTGCTCCTCCTCGGCAGCGGCGCCCAGCAGCGTGAAGATGATGCCCGCCTGCGAGTTGACGCCGACGGCCGCCACCAGCATCTTGCCGCTGCCCTCCATCACGTGCGTGCCTGCGACGTGGGAGGCGCACCGCGTCACACGGGAAGGACCGGCGCCGCCCGGCGCCACCAGCAGGACCGCCGCCAGCGCCGCACCACCGGCCGGGCTCAAATCAAAAGATGATGACCCTTAAACTTTTGCCGACTGAGGCGAGCTAGGCGCCGCACCACGTGGACCACAAGGACCTCGTACAAGTCAACTTAGCGAGTTTAGCGCAGTTTCAGCTGCAAATCAAATTTTTATCACTTAAACTTAGCAAAATGTTCCAACTCAGGGAAATGAAACACCTCTGAAAGCAGCACGTTTGTCAGTGCTTCATCGCCCCGTTCCGACTTGCCCAGAGTCGAAGGGCGAGCTGCCTGCGCCGCTCTCGACTGCTCGGCAGTCCCTCCGCCAGGACCCTGCGTGCCCATGCCACACCGAGGCGAAGCTCCCAAGGCCCACCTGATAGCAGCATGGGGTCAGTCTTTTCGCCCTTCTTGACGTGGTCCGACTCGCCAGTCAGCGACGACTCGTCGATCTTCACGTCGTTGCCCTGTATCAGGATACCGTCGGCCGGCAGCAAGTCACCATACTTGATCTGAAAAGCGTGCGACCCCGTGCTGAGGCGGAGCGAGGCTGGCCGTCCAACGCGGTGACCTCCATTTAGCAATGTAACAATCAGGGCGGAAACAATTCGGCAAACACTGCACAGCGGCGACATTCACAACTAGCAGACGAGTCACGACTGCCAGAACAGGCGTCATACGTAAGCACCTTGATGCAACACCAGGGCCTCGTGCTATAAAACGAGGACTGCTCCTCACCTGGCACACGTCTCCGACAAGAATGTCTCCAACGACGATTTCATTTACTACGCCTCCTCTAATAACGGAGAATTTGTGCTCGCCCTCTATCCTGTTCTGAAGGCCGCGAAACTGTTTCTCCTTCGACCAATCGTTGAAGGCAGTGACTAGTACAACAACTATCACAGAAACGAGGATGGCGACGCCTTCAATCCAGTTCGCGTGTGATTCAGATTCGTCGACGGCCCCGGAACGGACGACTGAAGAGAAGGGAATACGGTCGTTAGCGAACAACGCGAGGGGGAAAACTGAACGGTGAATATGGTTTAGCGTAACTTAGTCCAGCAAGAATATATACGACAGGCGTAGCGATGCAATCCAAATTATGCGTGATGAAAATATGGAGTACGGGTGCGAAGAGCGCATGACCAAATGCTATGCTCCGCGTGAAAGCAAGGTGAACGCAACCGTACTATACAAATTCACCCACCAACAACTTGCAATGCATTTGCGTTGAGCACGTATCTTACGAAAAAAATACACGAGTGGGCTGGGTTTCTCTCCAGCGTTCCATGTAAACGCAGCCGCGAGGCCGGACTAAGCCCGACTGCCGTCCATTATACATGAGACCGCGCTCAAGCACGTGACTGCCGTGTACGCTGTCACACTTCATCAGCGCCAATGACGCGCCGGCCCATTGTGGGGCGGGCGCGGCCTGGGCGGGGTCCGGCTTCAGAGAGCATACGGCACAGCGCCGCACCTGTGCCGGCCGGCCGGCGCCGCCGCTCCCCACGCAGACAGGTGGAAGGGTGGGGTCGCCGGGAAGCCCGCCCAGTGAAAGCTCATTACGTGGCACTGTCGGCAGGCGCAGCGGTGGCCGGGCGCCGCCGGCCGCGCTGGCTGCGTGCGATCTCAGATGGCCTGGGGCCGCTTCGATCGGGGCCAGCCGCCAGCGAGGCAGAGGCATCGGCGCTCGGCCGCCGCGCGCCCCCTCCCCTCCCTCGTGCCCTGCACCCGCGGACTGGGTCGGGGGAGGGGAGGGGCGGCCCGGAGCTAGTCGCTCCCATCTGACCAATCGCGCCAGAGCAGAGCAGTCACGTCATGTTACCGACAGCGGGCCGCTGTGCAAGCGCGGCACGCACCCCAGTGTTTCCTACGCCCACCGACGGTCATGGACTAGATTGGACCCGGAGCAGAGGGTCCCCCCCCCTCTCTGCATCCCTTTGCAACAAACCCTGAACACACACTGGGAGTAGGGACCTGGGACCCACCACGCCCTCAAAGAATGCCTCTCAGGACCGGCGACAAAAATAGCCCGGTCCAGATTCCGCGCGGCTTCCAAGATAATCACCGAATGTGACGGTGCCAAAAGCCCGGCCGTCCGTCTGACCGGCGAAGAATGGGTGCCAAACGAGCGCCGGGACAGAGGGCGGCGCGCGCAGCCGGCGACGACGGCGGCGCCGGCCGACCGGCCGACCGCCGACCCGGCCGCATCGATCGACGCCCAGAAATGCGGCGTGAAGGCCGCGGATTCATATAAACAGCGCCGCGCCGTTCACGATCGTTCGTCATCGACCGAGCGCCACCGGCACGCTTCGGGTGCAGCCAAAACAGCCATCAGTATACAGTCGAAGCGATTATAATGCGATCAATAATGCGGGCGCGGCATGACAACATTGTTGTAACAGAGCGGCGAAAATTACAATGCCGCGGGATGAAAGATGGGCGGGGAAAGCCACGCCTCTTACCTCCTCCTTCCTCTGATCGACAGTACGGGAAAGAAAGCACGGCTTTATCGTCATGATGATTTGATAGCAAACACGCAAACAATGCCCGGACTCAATCAACGGGGGACCCAGTATACGTACGGTCGAACGACGCCCGCCCAATGAATAAACAATGGGCACGGACACAATCGCACGTAATCCGATAGACATCACGCCAAACACGACAAATCAGAGCTGAATGGGGAGACGGGGACATGGGCGAGTCCGACGTCGAAAAGACATGAAGGGCAACGGATACCGCCTGACCAGTGCAGGGGCTGAGATAACGTGCATACGCGAGGCATCGTGGCGCTCAGACCCACAGCGACACCACTCACCTTTATCCTTTTCCGGGTGATAGAAGGACAGGCCTAACGAGACGATCGCGGCGATGATCAAGATGATCAGGGTGGTGTCCTGGAGCGCCTCCCACACCAGCTCAATGAACTTCTTAGGCGGTTTTGGAGGGATGATATTTGACCCGAAGGTCTGCCGCCTGTGCTGGATGTCTGCCTGGCTTCCGCTCAGACCTGCGAGAATACCAGCACACATGCAGTCGGAATGCTATAGATCTTGGAAAGATGGATGAGACCACGGACAAAACAGGGCAGTTGAAAGTCAAGACCGACGAGGACAGTCGCCAATGTCAACCAACGTGAAACATGTTGCACCCAGCAGTATGCATACCTGACGTGGGCGGCAACTCAAACAGGAGCATACATACTGCACGGTTTATATGCTGCAACGCTGGCCACGAACTGTCCCGCAACAGCAGTACACAGTGAGTGCGGCATTGGGTCGGTTCTGTGCAGCGTGAATGGCCCATGAATGGCCGCCCCCGGGAGCTGTGCACCCCCCGCACGGGGCGCGGCGCCCAGCACGTCGACGGCAGCCTCACCGTCCTGAGGCGACGTGTACAGCTTCTTGCAGATCTCCAGGATGCCACCGAACTCGGTGTTGATGCGTTCGATGGCCTCCTGGCCGCGACACTCCATGAGCTCGCGCAGCTGCTTGAGGGTGACCCCATACTGGGTCGGCCGGCCGTCGATGGTCGCCATCTCGACACAGATGCGCCTCGAGCGTCTCCACTAGCTGCAACAGCGCAGAGCGGAGGAGGGCGTCAGGCGCGCGGCGCTCCGCCACCCCGGACGGCACGGCTCACAGCGGCGGGGCGGGCCGGCCCGCCTTCCGGCGGCCAACGGCCACGACTGACCGGCCCGATGTCCAGCCAGCGGCCGCTACAGACGTCCTTGAGCCGGCAATGAGCCGCGCATCACAACAGGGGCCGCACGCGCGCCACGCACCGGCGCCAGCCGTTCGTCGCGCCATCCGCAGACCGGCCGCACCCGCGCCCCACACCGCTACAAATAGGCCAGCTGTTGACCGTAGTAACCAAATATTTGGCGTCGGGACGCCGCCACCAGTCCGGTGCCATCGCGCACTGAACGCAGACGGTCTGCATCCAATCTCGGTCACGTCCACGCCAGCCCGACCAGAGCTCACCACCCGGCAGGCTACTGTGAGATTGCAGTGCGCCCCCCCCCCCCCCCCTCCCTCCCTCCCTCCCGAACAGAGCGCACTACGCAATTACACCAAATGGCTAGCGCCGGCCGGGCGGATGAGACCGACGGCCGCCCGGCAGGTCTGCGCGTCGATGCGCCCGGCCCGATATCGACAAAACACGGCCGCGTTCCCATCGGCCGGTCACCGAAACAGCCCGGCCGCGGCGGCGAAACGACATCGGCGGTCTGCCTCCGCCGCCGCCGAGCGGTGGGGCCGCCTCTCTGCCGCGCTGCCGCTGACGTCCCCAGCACGCAGCGCAGGGCCCCGGGACTGGCCGGTGCACGGGCAACACCGTCGCGGACGGACGGTGGGGCCGCTTCTCTGCCGCGCTCCCGCTCACGCCCCCAGCACGCAGCGCAGGGCCCCGGGACTGCCCGGTGCACGGGCAACACCGTCGCGGACGAACGGTGGGGCCGCCTCTCTGCCGAGCTCCCGCTCACGCCCCCAGCACGCAGCGCAGGGCCCCGGGACTGGCCGGTGCACGGGCAACACCGTCGCGAACGAACGGTGGGGCCGCCTCTCTGCCGCGCTCCCGCTGATGTCCCCAGCACGCAGCGCAGGGCCCCGGGACTGGCCGGTGCACGGGCAACACCGTCGCGGACGAACGGTGAGGCCGCCTCTCTGCCGCGCTCCCGCTGATGTCCCCAGCACGCAGCGCAGGGCCCCGGGACTGGCCGGTGCACGGGCAACACCGTCGCGGACGGACGCGCAATCCTCCGGACGGCGCCCGGCGCCAGCTGGTTCGCCAGGCGAGCTATCGCAGCCCACATCGCAGCCGCATTCCGGCGGGACCAGTTCTCGTGCTCCGACCAACAGCCGTTTGCGTAATGACCAGGCCAGCGGCTAGGCCCCCACACTGGTTAACATCTGTCTCGGGTGTTGTGACAAGACCCCCCCCCCCCCCCCCGCGTACACAATGCTTGCACAGAACACACGACATCCATGTGGACGGCTTCCAACAGTTTAGTCAAAATACATCCCCAAAACAGGGATGGGCAAACAGCAGCACCCAGGCAGACAACCAACTAAACTGAAGAATGGCAGTTTATGGTATGTGGCCTAGCGGAAAACAGTCAAACGAGGTCAAAACTATCACCATAGCAAACGTCACAGCTACTTACGAACGTGCTTTTCGCCACGTACAGCCCAGCCGAGAACATGGATTGATCGGTCCCTGCGTTTCACCAACTCACACATAATGTGCACTTATGGACACTCCTGTGCCATGCTTTCAGGCCTGGGTCCGAGCTGTGCCCATGAGCGAGCCAACATGAACACGTAGCCGCTAGCGCTTTATAAAATGCGTACGTAGCGGGGCACGCCGTGTTCGTAAAAATAAAACGTTTTTAGACCCGCGCTTTTTAAAGCATTGACAAGCCCTTCACTCAAAAGCGTGCGTCATCAAAACCTCAGATCCATCAATGGCTGTAAACTTCAGGTCCATCGCTGGCTGTTTTTGCGGCTTGACCGTTTGTGTTCCAGCACAGCGCCGGGCTCACCGCAAAGACTTGGGTCAAACTCTTTCAAAACCTACGGAAAGAAGCAATTGCCCGTCCCATCTTCCAGAACGTAGATACTGCATCAGTCCCACTACTATCGCCCGATTGGCTTGTTAACATGGCTATCTTTGGGCGTTTGTCAACACCATCAGATTAGATAGTTCTGCGGAATGTTTGGGACGAAGTGATATTACAGATGGTCTACGAATCGCAAGATGACGGGTTCGAGGCTTGGGGTCTGCGCATACTTTCGAGGCTGTGATACAACAGAGCCCGGCACAAGTTTCCATGCCTCCATTAGCCTGCTTCGTGCAATAAGCAAGCATATTTCATTCATTCAGTGTGAAATGTGCTGGTCTTTGGTCTTCATGACTGCAGACACGGTCTAGCACACTGGCAATGCAATTGTCCGGTTTGGCACGCTGACAACAAAATTGTTCATCAAAGAGCGCTTGATGTTGGAAAACACATTTTTGGGTGTCATCTGAGCCTGTAGAGATCCACGGCGTCTCCTTGTCCCGGACCCACTGATGAATACTTCATATTCACTCCATCGGAGTCAGATTCGGCCTGCTCCCAGGCAATGTTCCGTCAGAAGTGGCAGGCTTCTCCTCGGCAACACTTCCGGGCCCGGGAAGAGCGGCGAGTCAGAAGGCCATCATGCACATGAGGATCCACGTCCACCTGCCATCCACCAAAAACCGCTCTAGACCGGAGCCAATGCTGGGTTCCCCGTTGATAATCAGGAGCTAGATGCTCTCCAACTTGGTCTCCATGCAGCACTCGCCATTAACGGACGATTTTTCGGGACCACGTCCAGCTAGCTCAGTCAAAGCCTGGTGGGACGTCATGCCTCACATCATCGGCTCAGAGAGAGCGTCGCCAATCGGGTCCCGGCTTCTTTTGGCGGAATTTGGGCCCAAACCCAGTCGTTATGGGGATTTGGTGACTGGAACAGATTGAGTAGTGACTCGTTGCTGAAAAGAACCCGCTTCCGCTCGTGAGCAGGCTAGTCTTTACGCCTGCACATATGGTATTTGCGGGACAGTTCTTTATCGAGCAGTTTCGCATTCATACGCACACTGCAAGCCTCCATTGTCTTTTTGTTCGATCCGAGATCAGATGAGCCCTACAACTAAGTTTCTGGGCGATTTTGGTCCCAGGATTAACCTCCCTTGCAGTCAGCTGTCTCCGTGCGATTGTGGTCACTGCGGATGTGGCCGAGACATTCCAACATTGATTTCTTCCACCGACGTTTACCACAGATAACCCTGTTGATGTCTTCATCAGCTGGACAGCTTGACGATGTTTATGTTTGTTTGTTGATTGGGATCATCACCAACAGCGTCCTTCACTCGCAGGCGAAGTCGGGCGATTAGAGCAAAAGCGCCGGGATTTCCCGGTTCGTATCACGTCTACAGCCAGACAGCGGAAGCCAAGGCCGAGGTTTTTCATCCTCACGCTTGGAAACACATCGTCACGTGGCCGCTCCGCAGAACACTGGTCCCGTCCTGCTGGGCTTTAACCTGGGGTCACCTCGTGACCTCATTTTCTGTTGAGGAGGGTGCCATGAAACGTTAGTGCTCAGAACCACGACTGAGGAAAGCAAAAACACGTCGGCGCATGGTGAACGCGGGAGGTAGCCAGTATCATGACTTTTGCTGACCCCTGCGCACAGTCAGACGCTGAGCGTCCTCCTGTCCTTATCAGGACCGCCTTAAGCCTGACGGCGGCGACCGGACTGGTGATGATTTGTGCTTCAGAGCACGCCGGATGCCCTGGTCATATGACGCGGAGAAGCAGCGGGTTGAAACGGTGCGCAAGCAATAACACTAGTGAGGAGAGAAACGGTCTGAATAACTATCTTGTTTGAACAGATTGCCTCATGACTCTGTGGCATAACTTCTGGATGGTCACATTTAAGCACTGTGAAGGCAATTCAAAACCAGGCACACGCCGTCACCGACGAATCACCCCGCCACATACTCACATAGCCACACACACACACACACACACACACACATATATATATATATATATATATATATATATATATATATATATATATATAAACACACACACTCACATAAATCGCCATCTCCGCGGGCCGGAGCACACGGGTTCCCGCGAAAGCCTTCGCTCGCTCAGGCTTTCACCCGCATTTGGTTTCCGCATTAGCGCGCGCAGTTGGGACGTTCCCTGCGCTATCAAGCGTGCGCCGAAGATACCCGGTGGCGACATTTGGATAACCTTTGGCGGGCCGGCGAACTCTGGCGGTTTCGCGGCGCCCGCCATCGAGAGCGGACACGCTCGGCCCCGTGCCAGATTCACAGCGGCCAGAGCCGACTCGCGCGCTCTCCCTCTCCCTCTCTCCTTCCGTCGGCGCCCCATGGTCGGAGCTGTGAGACGGCCGCTCCTACTGTTGCACGGTGCCTTCACGGCTACTCATCGCGCGCCTGTTGCTGGCGTTTTGCTCGCGGCTCAACGAACGGCCCACACAGTCGTCGGCCCTGACGTGCCAAACAGCATCCCATTTGGCAGCAACGTTGCGATTCCGAGAGAAACAACTCTTCCAATGCGTTCCAAGTCGTCACAGGTTTGGTTCATCGCAAAACGACTGACCAAGCCGACCCACGAGACAATTTTCCGGTCAGCCACACAACAATTGTCATTTACTGCCACCAAAAACGAGCTTGGGTCGACATGCTCAGAGGTCCGCTTGACGTCCGCTCAAAATTTTACGTTGAAATACACGCTAAACTTGGCTGTCATTCTTATCGTCCATTTGCCAAATATTTGGGAATCCAGACTAGGCCGGCAATACGTCCGTCAACACGATAAGCGAACACGAGTAATGAGCGAGAAGGTGCGAAGTGACCCTGGCCTATAGCCGCAGTACCCCGCCCCAGACCGATACAGATCGAGCGAGGAAGCTGGCCGCCCCCCCCCCCCCCCCCGTCCGCTCTCTCCTCCCCTCCCTCCCTCCCTCTCGGCCAGGTCCCCACGCGCAGCCCCGAACGCACGGCCGCAAGTCACGAGCGCGGCGCCGCTGGAATAAGAGGTCACAAAGCCCGAGACGGAGCGAGGCCGGCGGCGGCGCGGCCGGCGCCGGGCCCGGTGGCCGGCCGCGGCGCCGCTGGAACAAGAGATCACATAGCCCGAGACGGAGCGGGGCCAGCGGAGGCGCGGCCGGCGCCGGGCCCGGCGGACGGCCGCGGCCCGCCGCTGGAGAAAGAGGTCACACAGCCGGGAACGGATCGAGGCCTGCGGCGACGTTGCCGAACAGCCGGGGCCCGGCGGCCGGCCGCGGTGCCGCTGCGAGCAAGAGGGTCACACAAGCCCGAGACGGAGCGAGGCCAGCGGCCGCACCGCGGGCCGACGGAAGAAGGACGGCGTGGGCACGGCGGCCGGATCGTGGGCAGAGCGGCCGTCGAGCGGCGAGCGCAGCCCCGCAGGCGGGGCGGCTGGGCGACACCTCACGTGCGGCCGGCCGGGTCGGTGCCGGCTGCGCAGGCGGCTGGCCGCCAGCCCGCGGGTCGTTCCGCGCCATCGCCGGCCGTATCGATTCGCCCGGCCGGCCGGCCGGCAGCCAGCGGCCCGGACCGGCCGCCGCCGGCCGGCCGGCGTCCCAACCAGGCAGAGCCGGACCCGGCGGCAGGCCAACGACGCCGGCGGCGGCGGAGGCGGCAGCGAAGGCACCGGCAGCGGCCGGGCAGCGAGCTGTACAGGCGCCGCTGCACGGCTTGCAGGCAACACAGCGCACAGTGGTGCAGGCTCGCACGTACGCACGCAATCCGCTCCACCCGGCCGGCGTCCGACCCAAGGTCACGCGGCCGTCACACGCACACCGCACGCACGCGTCGCGGCCGCTTACCTGGGAAGCGAGCCGTCCCCGTGTCTGATCATCAGGGCCCGGTGCGGCGCGCGTGCGTCTGAAAACCAAAGAAAGGGAGTGTGAAACAGTGCTGGCCGGTCTGCCACGAGAGGCGGCCGACGACCAGCAGCGCCACGCTATTTCTGGCGCTTGGCGGCGGCGGCAGCCAGACAACCTCCTCCGGCAGAGTAAAACGAGCCCCGACCATCAGCGACAGTGTGGCCCGCTGGCAACAGGCTCCTGATGCCATCTGTCCGCCGGGCAGGCGCCCGCGGCCGCAGACGACCGCCGCCGTCTCGCGCGGCCACGCCCGCGAGACCGTTCTGACTCGCGGCCGCCACCGAGACGAGACGGCCAGCATGCAGAAAATCCCGCCCGGCCAATGTCACTGAACACGCCAGCCAGCGGTGCCAGACTAATCTCACCGCGCCCGTGTCAACTAAATCACCGGCGTCGCGCCGCGTAAGTGCACATGTGCTCGGCCGAACGGCCGCGGTTAGGCGGGGATTATTCCAAAGGCCGGGCATTACGGGCAGCCGCGGCTGGGGCGCCGGCAATATGGGCGGCGCGCGGACACTGTCGAGAGCCGGCGGCGGCGGTCAGCGCCGTCCGGCCGCTCCGAGCGGTGCTCCCAGCTGTCGGCCGATGTCGGTCAAGAGCGTGTGAGCCGGCGGCGCCGGCCGGCGCGACGCCAGGGCACGGGCGCGAAGGCCAGGCCGGCCCGTAGGCAGCGGGCCGCCAGGGCGCCACCGGCCTCGCCACCCGCCCGGCTCCACAGCGAGACGCCCGATCGATCTCCGCCCGCAGACAGAAACACGGGCCGACAGAGACGGGCCACCCGCACGGCCGCGTACGCCGCGCAGGTGCGTGCTGCGGTCGACGAAAAGAGAATGCGAAAGCCAACGAGGCGCATCAAAACTTTACCTAGAGCGACGGCTCATCTGGCAACTGGTGCAATGACGGCTTCGGCGTGTTCTCTCAGGAAGAAGGGAGGAAGGTAAGTGTAGCTTGTAAATTATGCAGCGCAAACTACATAATTCTGTCACTGCGTGAAGATGAAAACAGAGAACGAACAGAAGTAGGCATGTAAAACATTACCTTCGCAATAACTATACATTGACTCAGGTTTCCCAAGGCAGCCAAAATGTGCTGTGAAGATAGCATAATGATAAAGATAAATCAGAGTTTGACGTCATGAGAACAGCTCTCGGCTAATAGACCCATGAAAATGAGATCACAATGTGAAACCGCATGCAACGAAATTAATGAGAATATTATATGTATTATATATATTATATATATAATGACAATACTGTACTAGCCATAACTTACCCACCGTGCGTATAAATAAGCCGAAATACTCACCACCTCCGCGCCATGACCCAAAATCAGCCATCGCCATAGACCACCTTCGCTTTACTTCAGTTGCGATCGTGGCACGGTTTAACTGGCCTCACCAACTGATGTGCATCGGACCAGGGTGCCAATTAAACCCCCTTCCCCTGCCTTCAGTCAGTGATTTTACGTGAATTACGTGACAGTTTACTGGCGATCAAGGATAATATGCGGCCGGCATGCTGAAGCATAATCTGGCGCGGCCCCCCGCCAGCTGACCAAGCACGCAGACAGTCGTGCTCTGCCGTTCTCCGCCGATCGCATGACCGAACAGTGACGGCGGCGGCGGCGGCCGGCAGCCGAGACGACGGCTCGCGTGACGCGCAACCGTCTCGCCCCCTCCACCGGCAGGCCGACACGCTCGCGCAACGCCGCTGACAATTGCTCCCCGCTCCCACGGCGACAATAACGCGCCGCCGACGGCTGATCGGCGCCGCGGACCGCCGGCGGCGCGCGCGCGGCGTGGGCGGCGGCACCCGATGACAGCGGCGCCGGCGCCCGGCCACCGTCGGCAGTCGCCTTTCCACCTCGATGACGGCGGTGGCCGGCCGCCGGCTCTGACCGCAGCCCGCCCGTGCCCGGCGGCCCGGCAGCGGCGGCGCCACCGCACCCAGCCCGGCTCCGCTGCTGCCCGTTTACGATAATAACGCAACATTAAATGCGCCCTGACATTCGACCCCCGCTAATTGTAAATTTCACCTGTCCGGCGGCGGTGGCCAGCTGTCTGGGAGTGGGGACGTGCGGTAGGCAGCCGACATGCAACCCGGCGCGGTCGGCCGGCGCAGCCGCTGCCAGCCGGCGGTGGCAGCGGCTGCTGGCATCAGTCGCACCGTTCCCCGCCAAAGACAACGCCAATCGCTCGGAGCCCATGGTCGGGGCTTTACGATGAAGGGCAGGGGCTTTATGTTGACTGGTCTCGATTGGCAGAAGACGCCCGCGCTCTTCTCGCCGACCAGTCGGGGACGCGCTCAGAGCAGTGCGTTGCAGATACACACCTCCACGTGACCGACGGGATATGAGAGTGGCCCTATCCACTGGCCCTGGGTTCGAGCCCATGAGACTGCGGACTGTTCACCCTCAACATTTACCGGTCAGCTGTCCGCAGACCACAGGGTCTGCGTGGTACAAGGCGGTCATGTCTTAACATTGCACCTGCGAAACGAAGTGCATCTCTCCGCGATCCTCCTTGGCCAAAACGCACCAAACGAGATTCCTTGCATGCATCGAAAAGCACTACCAGCACTTTGGATTTAGGACAAAAAGTTCACTTAGCTCTGACCCAACACCGCCAGCCACAACCATTTGAAACCACTTGAAACGATAACCAATTGAAAGGTCATAAAAGAAAGCGTGCCATGGTTTTGCACTTTTCAGCTATAACTAGATCAGACGTATGCGATTTCATGAGAAATAGCAGTTTCGTCTAAATTCTGAACAGCTCAGAATACCGATTCGAAGTAGCCGCTCCGGTGGGAAAATCTCGTTGGACTCCCTGTTCACCACTGCGAGTTACGCCGTTCATTTGTGATTCATTTTTCAGTGTGTGTTCCGTGATGTTTGCAACACACCAGTTCGTAAAAATGTTTGTGCAATGAATGGCACACATGCTTGGAACGCTCCGTTTAGAGAAAATGTTGAAAATGTGGTCACCGTTGCGAAATTTAAACGAATCGTTGAATTTGAAACAGGCGTTTCAACACAGTGGGTATTCCGCAGCGCATTTTGGTTTTGTTGTTGATTGGAGTTTTAGGGCGCGTATTTTTTTTTTTTGGGGGGGGGGTTTGGGAAACAGACGTATCACATCGTCAAGACCGATGCAATTATGCAAATTTTAACCAGTGTGCTTTTCGGTACATAACCTGCGCCGTTAGCTATGCCAACCACACACGTTCATCTGTACTGTCGTTATTCACATCTGTAGAGGTGTCAGTTTTAAGCCGAGACGCACGCGATGTGCGGGTTAAGACTGACCAAAAATGGTGCCCCTAGTCTGAAACAGCTGACGACGGCCCTCAGCAGATTCAGCCGTCCTCAGTTGTAGCAGACGAGGGCTATACTCTGGGGCCACAAAGAAAGAAGTGTGTGTAGTCCTGTGAAAACGTAAGTTGGATTCGAGCATAATTCAAATGAATCTCCTCATTATATAATGATTCTTGGTGGCGTTTCAGCGGCACTACCCGGTGCATTTATTACACGTGAATAATCCTGAGCTGTCACGCGTAAGTACGTTTTTGACAAGTGCCACAAAGCACGGATGCTTCCTTTCCCAACGGGACACAAATTTGCCCCTATTCAGAGGCACAATGGACATTTTGAGAGCAGACTAGCTTTTACGTTAACAATATCACGGAGGAAGAAGAGAGGGGGGGGGGGGGAGATGGCACGATCTGGCTTGTATTAGCTTTTAAGTCACAGAGAAGGGTAAAGCAAGTCAACTAGACTTTGGTCAATCAAACCACATTTCTGCGAGATATCAAGATGACACCTTCGACAAAACCCGATTGGTGTACTTTGTTTGATTCCGTGGGTTTAATCAAGCACCCGGGTTACGGAAGCTGGCCAGTCCTATGTAATTTTGCCGACGAGATGTGTCAGTTGCTGAGCTTTTCGATATGGCTCATAGACCGCAACGCCTCACGTTTGCTCACCAGACCCTATATAAACGTGTCACATAGACAGAGTGCATTCTCGTCCTCAAACTATAGCTCCCTCACGCTGGCATAACGATACCTGTCGTGCGTCATCGGGCATCATAACTTTAAACGCATTTCCTCTTGAGATTTAACCAGCAAAGTGCTGAAACTGGCTTAACACGCGCCCGGCGAGGAGTCAAATTGCCTTCCCCCCCCCCCCCAAAGTGTTTTCTAGAATGATTTCCGAGCGGCACGCAGTAGCCGCGCAACACTTTGCAGAGCTAAAGAGAATGGAATAGCAGATATTTTGATGCCAAAAAATCGGATGTACCTTGTACGGTCGCTGACTTATGGCAGGTCAAAGTCAGGCCATGGGAGTCAGCGAAGGGCATTTCTATGTAATCGTTCAATGCAATGCGACAACGGAGTGTTAGACGAAACCATACATACCTGAGATAGTTTCGTACGCAATTAACCAATTGAATGTCAAATTACAACCAATCCCTTCCTGTCGACCTACGGTCAGACAGGAAGGTTAGAACAAGATCAAAACTAATCTGATTTTGACTCGAGCTTGGTTTCATGGGGTAGTCTCGGGTTTCTCCTTTCGAATTTTCTAATGACAGGGACCACAACAGACATGTCACATGGATTTGTTAAAGACAGGTCAGAGTAGGTCAGTGATCTAAAATAACCAAGGCCAAAATTTGGTTTTTAAGCACATGGCACCTGGCGCGATCCCTGACGCTTGTTCTAATGGGAAAGGGCAGCAAATTCGTAAGAATTTTGTCACCTCGACCTCATTAAGGTCAAACAGGTCACTGGCGTCACTCACTCTTCGCTTAGAACGGGTATCTAGTTTCACTGCGGTTGCATGAGTTTTGGGGGACACAAGACACCAATCTGGAATCTGACCTTGTTTGACCTTATTCAACCTCAAGGTCACGATCCGCGAACCTCAAATTTTGACACACATGAGTTCACGTACAGGTCAATCTATCGTTTGAATTTGATGTCTAGCTATCTTAGT